TATCACTAAGAATCTCTAAGAAAAACACCCAGGATAAATGTTCAACTAATCCAATCTTTAACTAATTAACTAATTCAAACTAACTAAATGTTTAACCAATTCAGAAATATTGTATGATTTGAACAGAGTAACATTTAAAAAGAAACTGTTTTGTAAAAAAGAACCCCAAATCAGGTAAATTAATTAAAATCAAGAAAAATATATGTGAAAACACAGAACGTTTTACTTAAGGCCTAAAAAGGTATAGGTCCAGATAGACCAGACGGAACTGGAAAGCTGAGGTGCCACGGCTGAGAAGGCCCTGTTTCTGACATTTGGGGCCCAGCGCAGGGCCTCAGTAGAAGCTGGGTTGCCAACCTCCGTGTGGGCCTGCAGTTCTCCGGTTAATACAATGGATCCCCAGGCTACCAGGATCGGTTCCCCCTAGAGGGAATGGCCACACTGGAGGGTGGTGTCAGCTACGCTGCCATGAGTGTGGAGATGTTTTCTAATTGCTTTGCATTCCTTCCCATGCGCTTAATTGCTTCAGAGCTGCAACACTTATCTTTGAAGTTGTACTGGTGGAGATTGTGGTGTCTATCGTCCGTGGGAGCTTCTCCGTTCCCAGCTTCGCAACCGTTAGAGAGCCCAACAGTATCCCGCGCACGGGAGCCCACCTAATTGGTTATTGCTGGGGGGGGGCACATACGAATGCCCTATATCCCATTATGCGCACAGGTATCCCACCATTCCTAACAGTGTTCATGTTATCGCATCTATGGCTTTTCAATAAAAGTAAAACCTTCCTGGAAGCGTGTACTTCGTTGTTTGGCTGTGGGTCCTGACAGGTTGTCTATATGGCACCACATCCCTGCTGTGTTGGCTTCTCTCACCAAACTCTGCTCTCCCCGGGCTTCACCCCCAGATCTCCAGCAGTTTCCCAACCTGGAGTTAGCAACCCTAGCAAGCGTGTTTGAGAGAAGGCTATCCTTAAAAGACCCTAGTCTAGGGTTGCCAACCTCCAGGTGGGCCCAGAGATCTCCTGCTTTTACATCTGATTTCTGAACTACAGAGATCAATTTCCCAGGAGAAAATGGCTGCTCTGGAAGGTAGACTCCATGGCATTGTGCCCTGCCTCCACCAAACCCTAACCCTCTCCAGGTTCCACCCTCCACCTGGTCCCAGATAGTGTTGGGCTTTAACTACAAGAGCTAGAACTTTAAATTGTGCTCAGAAATGAACAGGCTGTCATTATTAGTTATTTAAAAATACTCGGATAATGTTCTTTAAAAATTATGTGGGTACTCAATGAAATCGATGAGCAGTAGGTTTACAACAGATAAAAGGAAATAATTCTTCACCCAAAGAGTAATTAACACATGGGATTCACTGCCACAGGAAGTGGTGGTGGCTACAAGCATTGACGGCTTCAAGAGGGAATTAGATAGGCATATGGAGCAGAGGTCCATCGGTGGCTATTAGCTGTAAGGTATACATGGAAGAAGGCCTGCGGTGGCTCAGAGATTAAGACGCTGAACTGCAGACAGGAAGGCCAGTAGTTCAGCAGTTCAAGAACCTAGTGCTGCGTGATGGAGTGAGCTCCCGTTTCTAGTCCCAGCTCCTGCCAACTGTCAGCTATGCTGCCATGGGGGTTGGGATGTTCTTTCAGTGTCTGTGTAAATTGCTTTCGCATTCCTTTCTCTCTGCTTTGCGCTGCAATGCTTATCTCTAAAGAAGTACAGGTGGTGATGTGTGTTGTCTGCCTCCAAGGCCAGCCGTGGGAGCCGACCAATTCCCAGCTTCGCATAGTAACGCTTGCTGGCTTTAGCCCGCGCGCGGTAGGGTGCCTAATTGGCCAGCGCAGTGGGGGGGGGTGCATATGAATGCCCTATATCTCATTAGGTTCAAGAGGCAACTGCTATTCTTAAAAGTGACTGTGGCATTATTACACAGCCTCTGTGTAATATACTCAGGCCCGACCGCATGCGAGGCCAGGGCTCCACACGGTCACCAGAAGCCGTCGAGCTTCACTTCCAAGGACAATGGACTCTGCGGATCCTAGACCACACCAATAGGGAGGCTAGGCTCCGGGCCGAGAGCCTATGGAACTCTCGGCCACTGTAAATGGCCAATACACGGAGTGGGGTGTGTGTGTTTGGGATGGGGGCTTCTGGGCACACATAAGCCGGCCTGCGAGCCGAGCAAATTGTCTTGTTCTGAACCTCAAATAAAGAGAGCTGAATCACTACGTTAGTCTAAGGACTTTTCACTCTGGCTCACACATTTTTGCCTTAGCTCAGGAAGGAGGGTTCCAGAGCAAAACTGATTTGTCCAGCAGCCAGATCGCTTGCTCACAACTTTAATGCCAGTAGCTCCCCAAGTAGAATTTTTGCTCACAAGACTCCACAGCTGAGAGGGAGCATCAGTTGTGGCCCTGCTGGTGGATCTCCTGATGGCACTGGGGCTTCGGCCACTGTGTGGCACAGAGTGTTAGACTGGATGGGCCACTGGACTGATTCAACATGGCTTCCCTTATGTTCTTATGTTCTTACTTGGCTCAGCAATTCTGGATCGGCTATACTATCACCTGTGTCCCAGGGCTCTTGTTGCTCCAATCTACTCTTGTTGCTCCAATCTACTCTGCTCTCCCCACCATGTTTTGAAGGAGATAGGGTGGATAGGGAGTTTTCTAATAGCAGTAGCCTCAGCTGGTCTGGGAGCCATTGATGGTGTAATGTATCCATCTCAGACTGCGTGCGAGGCTTGGTCTCCACGTGGTCATGCGAAGCAACCGAGCTTCACTCTCAGGAACAATGGGCCAAGCGGATCCTAGCCCGCACCAATTGGAGGGCTAGGCTCCTGGCTGAGAGCCTATGGAACTCTCAGCCACTGTAAATAACCTATCACTGGTGTAGGGGTGTGTTTGGGGTGCGGGTCGTGTGCCCTTATAAACTGGCCTGCGAGCCGGTGTCTTTTGTCTTGTTTTACACTGGAAATAAAGTATGAGAGCTGAAATCACTAGTAAGTCTCCGTACTTTTCACTGGTGATGAAGGTGGGATTCTATCTCCCACGAACAACGACCCGAATGAAGATTTGAGCATTGCATCGAGCCCCAGCAACGGGACCGCTGCACACTGCTCCGCCTCGTGCCCAGCTTCTCCGGTTGCTGCTCTTCGCACCGCTCCTCGCTCCGTACACCGCCCTGCTAACTCCGAGAGCAGCAACGCACCATGCCTCGCTCCAGCCACCAGTGCCTCCACTCCTGAGCTTCACCCACCACATGGAAGCAGTAAGATGGCTACCTCCCAGGAAAGCATCGCTGGTTTCGACATCTCCCGTCCCGCACAGTGGGAGACGTGGCTCGAGATCCTGGAGAGTTACTTCGACTGCCACGACATCATGGACCCGGGTAAGAAAAAGGCTCACCTCCTTCAGTCCTGTGGCATAGAAACCGTGCTACTGCTCAAGGACCTCATTGCGCCTAAGCAGACCAAGGACGAGACCTATGTGGTATTGGTGAAAGCGTTGTCCGACCACCTCTCACCAAAGCCCACAAAGTTTGCTGAGCGCATGGACTTCTTTGCAAGGGTCCAGGCAGGTCTGCTTACGAGTTCTTGGCCAGGCTCTGGCGGGCGGCCACCAGGTGCTCCTTTCCCGACCTGGCGGATGCTTTGCTAAACCAGTTCCTCTTGGGTCTCCAGGAACCCAAACTTTGGAGGAAACTGGTTAGCTAAGACGACCTGGACCTGGATAAGGCACTCCGTGAGGCTGCTGCTTACGAAAAAGCTCATCAAGACTGCTGCGGACAGGCGGTCCATCACACCCAAGCAACAGTCTCTGAGGATGAGGAGGTGTTCCAGGTACGCCGCCGCTCATCCCGACAGCAGCATCAGCCAGCAGGACCTTCCTCGGCCAAGGTCGTCCGTCATCGTCTTGTGCCAGCTGCAGAGAGGCGCATGAACGGAGGTCTTGCTGCTTCAGAAACGCCGTCTGTCGCTCCTGCAACAAGCCGGGCCATCTGGCCCAGGTCTGCTGCTCCCAAGGACATCCCTAGAAGACTTTGACCCACCAGACTTCAGCAGATCTCCACACCGACCTACATACCCTCTCAGCCCATCACCAGCAGCACCAGGTATGTAACTTGCCCCTCGATAGCCCCAATACGGTGCACGTAACGGTGTTAATAGAGGGGTTGTCAGCTAGCTGCCATGTTTTGCTTGTTCCCTTCTCTGATCCTGGCTTGCTTGCTGCTCTGCCGCTTGCCGTAAACATCGATAGGGAGACCGTGAGAACCAGTGCTGCCAGACTACGTTATCTGCCTGGCCTTGTGAAGGGGGGAAGGGCTTGCGTTCCACCGCTGGTGTGAATCTTTTGGCTCTCATGAGGCACTGAGACTCTCCCGCTTATTACGTATCCTCCTGCCGGGAGAATTCGATTATCATTTGCTTAGCCATTTGCCTCATCCTGCTATATGTAGGGATGTTTCCACCCCTTGGTTATTCCTTACAGTAATCCTGTGGATATGGTACCAGTTTTGTAATCTAATACAGCATAACACTTCCTTGGAAATGTACTTGCTGCTGAACCTGACAGGGCCCCCCCTGCAGCATGGAAATAGACTCTGGGTCATCCTTCTCCATTATTTCTGAGGAAACACTGCGCTCGCTCTGCCCACGGGGGAGACCCCTCCTGCAAAAGCCACAGGGATTTAAGTTGTGGGACTTTAACAAGAACCTTGTGGCGGTTCGGGGCTGGGGCAAGTTTACGGTGCAGTTTAAAGACTTCTGCGGACATTTAGACTTGTTGGTGTGGGGGGGAGGCTCTCCAGTTTGCTGGGACTTACGTGGTTCGGGCCCCTGGGGTTAACGATCACAGGGATAAACCAGATCCGGACTGAGGACTTTGCAGCTGTGTGCCCCAGGGTTTTTGACGGCACACTCAGCCGCTACACCGGGACCCCCATCTTCCTCGACCTGGCCATCCGCCCCATCAGGGTAAAGGCCAGGCACCCCCTATCGCTATGCTGCCTAGGATCGAGGTGGAGCTCGATCGGTTGGTGGACCAGGGGGTGCTGGAGCCGGTCGCTTCCGCCCGGTGGGAGACCCTGATAGTCACCCCAGTTAAATACAACGGGGACGTGCACATTTGCGCAGACTATAAGTGCACATTAAACAAGGCACTACAAGACCATGTGTACCCGGTACTGGTGGTCAGCCATGTGTTCGCAGCCCTGGTGGGAGCCCGGGTTTTCAACAAATTAGACTTGGCCCAGGCATACCTGCAACTCTTGGCGGATGCTGCCACTGCCAAGGCCCAAACGATAGCGAACCATAAGGGGGCTTGTAAAATTCATCAGCTCCAGTTTGGGGTGTCGGATGCACTGGGCATTTTTCAATCATTTATGCACTCTCTCCTGAAAGGAATTCCCAGAGTTCAGCCGTTTCTAGATGACGTGCTCATCGCAGCCCTGGACGCATCGACTTTCGCCGACCGGCTTCGTGCAGTGCTTCAGCGTTTCAACTAGGCTGGCCTGAAGGTCAAGTGAGAAAAATGCCTCTGCACCCTTGGGTCTGGGGACCCGAGCACGCCACCGCTTTCCAAGCTGTGAAGGACCTCTTGGTTTCTAACTCAGTCCTCTCCCATTTCAATGGAGCTTTGCCTGTGGTCCTTGCCTGCGATGCCTCTCCGTACGGGGTCAGGGCGGTTCTGGGACACCTGGGAGGTCCCGGTGGCTTATTATTCGCACACCTTGTCGTCTGCGGAGTGGAACTATGCGCAGATCGACAAGGAGACGCTTGCTATAGTGGCGGGGGTGAAGAAATTTCACCATTACCTGTATGGCCAACCATTCACTATCCTCCTGATGGGCCATAAACCGCTCCTCGACCTTCTGGCCCCCGACCACCAGCCCGGAAAAGCGATGGGCTACACGGATGCTTTGAGCCATCTTCTGCTGCCAGCTACTCCCCAACCAGCCTGTGCATGTTCGGGACGTGGCGCGCTGCACTGCTAAGGACCCGATGCTTTGCCGTGTCTTGGACTGGGTGAGAAGGGGGTGGCCTGCGGCTCGGGGGGGGGGGCGATTTCACAGCATTCTCCTCCCGCAAGGACGAGCTGTCTGCCCACAAAGGCTGCTTGATGTGGGGTGGCAGGGTGGTGATCCCAACTCCCTTAAGGGAACGAGTCCTCACAGTGCTCCACAAGACGCATCCGGGGGTGGTCCGGATGAAAGCTCTGGCCAGGAGCTACGTCTGGTGGCCGGGGCTGGACCAGGACATCGAGGACCGGGTGGGGAGATGTCAGCCTTGCCAAGAATCCCGACCCGAGCCCCGCTAGAGCCTGGGAGTCCTCGCACAAGCCCTGGTCCAGGCCACACTTGGACTTCATGGGGCCGTTCCAGGGTCAACTATTCTTTATCCTGGTGGATGCGCACAGCAAGTGGCTGGAGGTCGTTCCGGTACCATCCACTTCCTTGAAAGCAGCCATACGGGCCATGTGGCACATCTTTAGTTCCCAGGGTATTCCTGACATCCTGGTCACAGACAACGGCACGGCATTCACCTCCAGTGAGTTCCAGGACTTCACCCGTTACTATGGGATTCGCCATGTCAGATCAGCCCCGTTCCACCCAGCAACCAACAGCCAAGCCGAACCCATGGCTCGGACTACCAAGGACACGCTTCGCCACCTGGACAGTAAGGACTGGGACTCCAAGTTGGCAGCATTCCTCTTTTGTTAGAGATCGACACCCCAAACCCATGATGGGATGCAGCCCAGCGGAGCTTCTCCTGGGACGGCGCCTGACATCCCGGCTGGATCGCCTTCATCCTGATCGAGCCCCGGAAGAAGAGCCAGCCACAGAATCACCCGAGGTAATCAGAGGATTCTTTCCCGAGGATCTGGTCTACACCCGGAACTATGGAGCCCGGCCCGGGTGGTAAGAGTCAGGGGACCCCGATTGTATAAGGTCTCCAGTGAGGACGGCCAGATACTCCACCGCTACATCGACCAGCTGTGTTGGCGAGTGCTACCGCACGATCCAGAGGACTTCGAGGATCCAGACTCCTCTGAGGCTGCGACTCCCCCTCAGGCACCGGAGGACCCGGCTCCTCCAGCGTTGGCACACTGCTCATCGCCACCTACACCGCCCGCAGACATCACGGCCAGCCCCAGCGAGGCAGCGAGACAGGCACCGCCACCACACACACCGGCCAGCACTCAGCCAAGTTCATTGGTGTCACCCTCCGCCCCGGTACCAGTTCCTCACCTCTCCACTAGAGCACAGAAAGCACCCACCTATCTCCAGGACTTTGTGTGTGGGTGTCTTTTGGACCAAGGGGGGAGAGGGGTGTAATATATCCATCTCAGACCGCGTGTGAGGCTTGGTCTCCACGCGGTCATGCGAAGCAACCGAGCTTCGCTCTCAGGAACAATGGGCCAAGCGGATCCTAGCCCGCACCAATCGGAGGGCTAGGCTCCTGGCTGAGAGCCTATGGAACTCTCGGCCACTGTAAATAACCTATCACTGGTGTAAGAGTGTGTTTGGGGTGTGGGTTGTGTGCCCTTATAAACTGGCCTGCGAGCCGGTGTCTTTTGTCTTGTTCTACACTGGAAATAAAGTATGAGAGCTGAAATCACTAGTAAGTCTCAGCACGTTTCAGATGGTGTTGCTGGAGCTAGGGTTACCAGCCTCCAGGTGGGGCCTGGAATTCCCCTGGAATTGCAACTGATGTCCAGACTACACAGAGGGGTCAAGTCCCATGGGGGAAATGGCAGCTTTGGAGGGTGGGCACTCAAGGGCATCACATCCCCACCCAGGCTCCCTCTGAGCTGTGGAGTCCGGGGAGCAAAAACTCTGCTCTGTGAGCCACTCTGTCATTACAGTTGCGAGTGAGCCATTTGGCTGCTGCATCAGTTAGTTTGCTCTGGAGCCCCATCCTTCCTGAGACAAAAATGTGTGGGCTGGAGGCTAACAAAATGTGAGCTGTGAGCCAGCTCACACCGACTCAGCTTAGAGGGGACACTGACCCCCCCCCCCTTGAGCTCACACGCCACTCCCCGGATCCCGCCCCCCCTCCCAGGCCCTGCCCCCTGGTGCCCCAGACAGCCAGAGCTGAAGGCCCAGCTGCACCCCATTGCTCAGCAAGGTTAAGGACAAGGCCTGAGTCCAAAGCTTTATCCTAGGGATAAGCGCCTGCCCAGAATAAACCTTCGCTGGTCTCCAAGGGGCCCCGCCGTGGACTCAGACGTTGTTCTGCTGCTTCAGACCAACACGGCGGCCCCCACCGGGATCTACTCTCAAACCAGAAACACACAAGCTTGTGGGGAGGAAGGCCTGTTCCTGCTTTTGGGATGCCCTGAAGAGCGGACGCGCCGGAAGGTGGTTGGAGCGGAGGAGCCGGCCGGGGGAGGGGCGGGGGGGCACCCCAGGGGGGGCCGGGAGGGAAGTCCAGGCAGGAGCCAGTCTGGAAAACGCTTTTGGCCGGCAGCCCTTTCAAGAAGAGCCACCAAGTCCCACTGGCTCACGGTGCACGTGGTTATTTTATTCTAAAACGTAGAACGGTCTCTTGTGTGGATGGTTGGCAAAACCAAATGCCACGTGGTGCTTTCTGGCAAAGGGCTGTGTGCTAGGCACACTTTCATGGCATCAAGCCTGCGGGAGAGCTCTGGAGAACTCAGAGACTTGCCCAATGTGTTGCGTGATATTCTGGTTGGCCTCCTTAGGAATAAGCATGACGTGGCTCTTCTTCTGAGGAGGACGACGATGACGACGACGATGCTTTGGGTTTCCAACCTCCAGGTTGGCACCGGGAGATCTCCCACTAGGACACTTGACCTCCAGATGACCAAGATCAGTCCCCCTGGAGTAAATGGCCGCCGCTTTGGCTGGTGGGCCCTGCTGAGGCCCCTCCCCCTCCCCAAGTCCCACCCTCCTCAGGCTCCACCCCCAAAAAAATCTCCAGGTGTTTCCCAAGCCAGAGCTGGCAACCCCAGTGGCTGTAGAGTTCATTTTGATCCCTTTTCTCCAGGGAAGCCAGGGCAGCGCTCACCTGCCCAATGGCCCTTTCTCTGTGTGCCTGTGTGTCTGTGTGTGTGTGTGTGTTGTGTGTGGGGGAGGGGGGAGGGGGATGGCTGAAGGCCACTCGGTCAGCTTCACAGCTGTTTGATCATTTGAACTGAGCCTCCCCCCAGTCCTCGCCCCACTGCACCCCATTCTGGATCCAGCACTTAGCAACACATTCTGGATCAACTGAATCGCCCGGTTTCTCCGAGCAGCCCCGTGCCCACAATGTGCGTGCCTCCCTCCCCCCGGAGCCTGCCAAGTGAGCCCTGTGCCGGGCTGGGAGTCGCTTCTTCACACGGGTTCAGATCCCTCTCAGAGAAAGAGCCGTCCTCTAGACAGGTGGAAACGGGCACTTAAAGGGCATCCTCCAGCGGTTCCTTCGACTGGACCCGTTTCATTAGCCACACAGAATGAACTACTGCCTGGCCACTATGGCAAAGCTTGCAGAATAAAAGACATGGGAGGCAGTGGATATAATGCAGGCCATGTGTGTAGGTCGGTCAGCGTTTAGTTGGGAAAACCTTTCACACCGTACTTGCAGGCCCGGCCAAGAACAGCTCTCTGGGGCAGGCGTTGGGCTCTGGCCCAGCCAGGGGACCGGGGCTCTCACCTCCCCCTTCCCCTGCCTTCCCCTGGCCAGGAGAGGGAGGGCAAACACCCCACCACGGCCTGCCTTAGCGGTGGGCACAGAATGGTAGAAATACTCGAAAGTGGGCTAGGGCCACACTGGCAGGGGACGGGGGGTGTCGGGTCGCCGGCTCCAGGTTGGGAAACTCCTGGAGATCTGGGGGTGGAGCCTGTGGGGGGGGGAGGACAGGGGGACCTTGGCGGGGTACACAGTGCCATAAAGAGTCCACACCCTCCAGAGCACCCATTTTCTCCAGGGGAACTGATCTCTGTAGGCTGGGGATGAGCTGTACTTCCAGGGGATCCCACCTGGCTCCCTGTTGGATGTTCCAGATGCAATGTGATGTCCCCTGCCTCAGACCTCCAGACTGAGTGGCCAGAGAGGCCAGACAGCTAGACAGGCACACTGACCTTCCTTCCTGTCTCCACTCTTCTGCCACTGTCCTCTTTGAGAGGCAGACTGTGTCCTCAGGGATCAATTTCCCTCCCACTCCGAATGGAGACTTGCTCTCTACCTGCACCCACCGAGAGAGAGGGACATGCGGTCCTCTCTTGGCACCACGAGGCAGACGGGCCTCTCGCTCTCCATCCTTTAGCTAGTAAGTTAGTGATCTGTCAATCTCTGCTCTCTCCTATCCAAAAGAGAGAAGCATTTCTCTTCTAAACTTGCAACGTGGCTCTGTGTAGCTTTGTAAGCTGAGTAACCTGGTAAAGTGACACTCCTGCATTTGTAGCTTTATTTAAGCACTCGGCTAACTAGTGGTGACTGGACTAGCCACCCCAGTTAACCTCAATAGACGCTGACATCCCTAACAATGGACATAGGGATGGTG